TCTTTAAAACAGTGAAGTTTTGAAAATAGTAATAAAAATCATAACATTTTAAAAATTATACGAGTGGGAAAGATATGGGAAAATTCCATGTTAAAAATGGTAATATTGGGGAAAAAATGTACTGATAAAAAGGGCAATGTCAGGAAGAAATTGTTAAATATTACCTTTAAAATGATGAAGTCAGAAAAACAATTATATATAACAAAATTGTAAAGTTGGGGGAAAAATACTCATATTTTACTGTTTAATGCCACACCCATCCACAAAATCAAAAAAGATGCACATGAACATACACAAACACAAATATTCGCACACAAACACATGCATACACAATAACACTCAGAGAAAACACAAGCAGAAACAAAAATGTACACAAACACAAGCAGAAACAAAAGCACAGAAAGACACAAAAACAAAAATGCATGAACACAGACGTTGCATGCTTGCTGCCACTCTCAAGAGGCCCAGCTGGAGCTGTGGGGGCAGAGGGAGGAGGAACGGAGCCCCTCACCTTGTGGGCCCCGTGTCCCAGCCGGGGTGGTTGGGGAGGCCCATGAAGCGAGGGTGCTCCATTCCAGCTCCCCGCTCCCTCCAGCTCAGACTGGGCAAACCCAAGCTGGCAACTCTGTGCTGCCCACTTCCTCCTGCCTCCCTGGCTGACAGGTTCACCCCTGCATGAAAAATGAACCCTTGAGGGTTAATTTCCCATGTGATCAGCCATTTTAAAAGCACTCTGCAACCATGCACATATGTTATGTTATGCCTTTAGAGTGCTTTCAGGGGCCAGATCATACAAAAAATGTGACTTCTGTCTGCACCCAAAATGTGATGATGAATTTTCCAGCATGCTAGCTACTTCTTTTGTTGTTGCTGGGTTTGTCTTTGTTATCCTTAGCCTTTTCACCTGTATCTTAAGCCTAATTTTCAAGAAAAAAATAGGGCAAATATATCTAGGGTCCTAGCCAGAATGCAGGACCTCCATTTAACCCAGGAGGTGCACAGCCCCACCAGGGGAGATGCCTTGTTGGACCTGGTGCTGGCCACGGGTGATGACCTGGTGAGGGGGCTGCGGGTGCTCGACCACCAGGACAACAGTGATCATCGCCTGCTGGAATTCACCATCCAGCGCAAGGTGGCAAAGGCCTACAGCAAGGCAGCAGCCCTAGATTTCAGGAGGGCAAACTTCAATGAGCTAAGGAGAATAGTCGGGGAAGCACTGAGGACCCGGGGGGGAGGGGAGCCAGGTGTCCAAGAAGAGTGGTC